TATTAAACATATATATATATATATATATATATATAAGCAAAATTACATATAATGTCATCTGTTCCAATTTTGCTCTGCTAGGGTTTCGCCATTATAGCGAAACCTGGTATCTCTTTGTCGAATTTGTGGTATCTCCTCTTCTTCACTGTGCTTCGTCTGTGTCGTACGATGTCGACTTCTTCGTCGTGCATCCTCTGTCTCGCTTGAAATAGAGGTGTCATGTGGCTTCATTTCTTCTCGGGCATCTGTCAGTTGCACCTTCTGCAGTCACACTTCTTTGGTTTCCTACTCGTTCGTTCGACACTTTCACACTCAAAGAATTCTACGTTGTGCGGCGTCGCTTCTTCGTCGACTTCCATTCTCAACTGCGCCTCCTGCGGTCTTTTGCTGTTGTCTGTTGCACTCGCGTCCGTCCTGTGAACTACCCGCAGTCCAGCTCAAGTTGCTTGGTGCTGTTCAACTCCCTTCCATGGCTACTGTTCCTTATCAACCACCGATTACAATTTTAAACCTTGGGAATGCTTCTTTTGTTTGTATGGTTGGCTCTATCGGATCAGATCAGGTTTTCCCTCAGGTTTACCATAAATCATTCGAATGCCAGGAGAACCACAACCTTATCAAGAAGACGGGTAGGAAGAGTGGCAAACTGGCTCTATTCTTCTCTGATGTTAAAATTTCCAACATAGTTAACAAGTTCAAGTTCTCCCTCATTGGGAAGTTCCAATCAGGACATCCCAAAATGGAAATCATTCGAAAGACTTTTGAAGATCTCAAGCTATTGGGACTTTGGAAAGTTGGTCTTTTTGATGGGAGACATGTGATGATACAATTATCTAAAGTAGAAGCCTATGCCAAAATATTTTTCAAAAGTTTATGCCAATATGAAACTGCTTAAGTGGTCTCCTGAATTTGACCCTAGTCAAGAACCACTTATAGTTCCAATCTGGTTTAAAATACCTGGCCTAAAGTTGCACTACTTCAACCACCAAGTCTTTACTCTATTTGAGTTGGCACTGGGGAGACCTATGAAATTGGATAAACCCACCTTCAATCTAACTAGGCCTTCGGTTGCTAGAATTCTTATTGAAAGGGATATTACCCTCCTTGATGTGATGTAATATTGCTTAGTACTGCCCATACTGGGTATTGCCAGTCAATTATAGCAGAATAAAGACCCTACTACTGCAATAACTGTAAATTGTTTGCGCACACCCATATTAAATGCTTCAGGCTTCACCCACATTTGAGATCGGCAGATCCTTACATCATCATCCATGTGTAGGAAAATATAGCAGACACTGTTAATCTTCCAGAAATATTGAATGAGAATTGGACTCATAAGGCTACTCCTCACCAACCAGATCAACAGCTTCCGCCTACTGCTGTTGAGGCAGATCTTCCTCAGATTATAAATTCTACGAATATCGTTGTAGCAGATGCTAGCTGAGGTGTTTTGAAACCACCTATTGCGAG